TTTCCCATTTTTCGACGCTGCGGCTTATATAACTGTGCGGCTAATCTATGGATTTTTACAGCCAACGGCCACTAGGGGACCTCCTAAATCTATGGATTTTACAGGTTACAGTCCACTACCTTTAACTCTATGGGCTCTATGGCCGGTCCGCGCCCCCCACCTTTAAGCGGCAGGGCTCCAGCAGGAAAAGCTGGAGGCCGGAAAAGAGTGAGACAGGTAGCGCGCAAAAGTAAAAGTGGAACCGAGAGTGGTACGAGAGACAGAACGAGAGCAAGACAGACAGACATTACGAGAGCGAGACAGTTTGTCCCCGTACCACTGGTTGAAAACCGCTGCTGTAGATCACTGCCGGTACGTGCACTGGGAGCGCACCGTTTAAGTTTGAAAGTTGAAAAGTTTGTGTGTCTGAAACGCTATGTGATACAGTACAGTTTACACAGCACAGTACATGTTCTGTAGCTACTATTGCACTAAATGCTAACACTTGAATACGTTATGCAAATATGCAACTTGTTTGTTGAAATGTTAATAAATGGGAGCTTCCTCAAACAGCCATCTCTTTCCCGACAATCCCCTCTGTGCACGAACCCTTACATATGGTAATTAAACATTAAAACACCTGCGGCTTATAGTCCAGTACGGTTTATATATGTACACATCATTCAATTTAGCTGCTGCGGTTTATATTCAGGTGCGCCTTATAGTCCGAAAATTACGGTAATCCCGCAAGAGGGGAATACAAACTGCAAGAGGAAAAACAGTATATGTACAAAGAAAGAGGAATCTGTGTTGTGCTAAAGTCAGTAGTCTGCTTAATTCAAATGTAATTACATTACATATTTTAATGGTTTTAATTCACATGCTTTTTTTTGTATTGTTGGTCATCTGTTAGAAATAATTAGCATTTTTTATTATTTCTTACATTGTTATTGGCATAACTCCCATTTCATTTCACTTGTTTCAAAAATTGTATTCTTTTCTTTTCTTCTTTTTTCTTCCAATGTGTGTTTATAGATGTGTAAACTTTTTCTTTACACTATTCACACTCTCTGTGGCTGCAACCTTTGTGTAAATACAGTTTGGAAATAGTCTTCATCACTTCAGTGTGTGAGCTTGATTAGAATGTGTGCTGCTTGGCTGTGTTATGTCAGATAGATTGCTGCTGTTAGCTGCTGGGTACATGATGAATACTCACCATAAGCCTTTGGCAGGTCTGAGGGATGAGTCTGTGACAGCGCTTATGGACCAGCAGTTTGCAGTTGATACACTTGTAGCCCTGCCTGCCCAGCCCCCATATCCTTTCAGCACAGTGGCCACAGTAGGCTTTCTGCAAGACACACACAGGACACATTAGTCTTTAGCACACTCACTGATACAACCCCTGGCGATTCTCATAAAGCACTAATTAACAGCAATACATGAATAAATAAGTGTGATGGACAGACAGTGACCTTTCCAGATGAAGTATTACACATTTCTCCTTACTGTACTGTTTTAATGCGGGTCTATTCTGGTTTTGATTGCTGCTCGGTCCATTATTCACTCTTGTTTTAGCTCGGTTTTTGGTTTCTACCAACATCTGAAGGAAATACCTTTTCTCTTTAGCTGAATTGCCCCATTATATTCAGCAGCTAGCCTCTAACTGTGTCTGTCTGCCGTTTATAAGCAGGTGGTGGACAGTGACTTTGTCAGAGCTTTTTCATCCAGTATACATGTGTTATTTTCACGGAATCTAAAGACTCATAAGGAGACCATTTCTAGTCATGATGATGCAATTCTCTATTGTAGCCATTTTGTCGTAGAGAGACCAATTTTTTTAAGCGACACTGTATAAAATGATCTTTTGTGACCTCTCAAACATGGAGTTCACGAATCAGCCTATTAGTACAGAAATAAACAAGAAAGTCTATCAGTAACACATGAATCCTTGTCATCCAATCATGTGAGTTATCTAACCTGTGGCACATATCCATATCGGCAAATTACACTGAACAAAAAATTAGAACGCAACACTTTTGTTTTTGCTCCCATTGTTCATGAGCTGAAATACAGGTGAGGATGAATGAAATCAGAATGAAAATGTACACAAAAGGGCTATTTCTCTCAAACATTGTTCACAAATGTGTCTAAATCTGTGTGAGTGAGCACTTCTCCTTTGCAGAGATAATCCCACCACCTGTCATATCAAGATGCTGATTAGACAGCATGGTTATTGCACAGGTGTGCCTTAGGCTGCTCACAATGAAAGGCCACTCTAAAATGTGCAAGAACTGGGATGTTTCCAGCTTCCAGGATTTGTGTACAGATGGAGGATGAACGGCACAACAGTGGGGCTCAGGATCTCTTCTCGGTATCTTTGCATTCAAAATGCCATCAATAAAATGCACCTGTGTTCGTTGTCCACAACATACGCCCGCCCATACCATAACCCGACCGCCACCCTGGGCTACTTGATTCACAACGTTGACCTCAGCAAAGCGCTCACCCACATGACGCCATACACGCTGTCTGCCATCTGCCCTACAGTGAAAACCGGGATTCATCCGTCAAGAGGGCACTTTTCCAAAGTGCCAAACGCCATCAAGGTTGAGCATTTGCCCACTGAAGTTGGTTACAATAATTTAGGTTTCTGACAGTTTGTGCAGAAACTCTTTGGTTATGCAAACCGATTGTTGCATCAGCTATCAAGATGCCAAGATTTTTTTCTCTAAAATATGTTTATTCCTGTAAACAGAAAATTATTTTTGTCTGGTATACATCTACTCTAAAGCACAGACCTAATGCAGTTACATCACATGGTCTCTAGAGCGTTGGTTCTGTCATTGGTGTTTAGCTGACATTGCTAAATTAGGACTGAAGGCTGTTCAGTGTCCCTGGGCATCAATTCATCCGTCACCAAAATATCCCCCTGTAGACTGAACACATGCAGTGTGTGTGTGTGTGTGTGTGTGTGTGTGTGTGTGTGTGTGTGTGTGTGTGTGTGTGTGTGTGTGTGTGTGTGTGTGTGTGTGTGTGTCGACAGCATTCATTCATTGGGATGGATGCTGACGGTGTAAAGAACAAAGAGTCCCAGTCACTGCTCTGTTGCCATGGAAATGTTTCAGCAAGACTTCAAAGGCTTCCTTCTGTCTTTCTCATCTGACTCTACACAGAGGTTAAGGCACACATTTATAAATTAATCACCAGCTTTAGTCCTGTTTCTTTCCCTACACAGCACCCAACCAGTCAGCAGTGTGAAGAGTCACTGCGTCAGGCTGTGGACACCAGGGAGTCAGCCCTTTTAATAGTGATGCCTTTTATACCTCAAGATAACCAGGCTCAACAGTTTTTTTATCCTCAACTTGTTTTCAGATGTCTAAAAACACAGCAGGAGTCTTGTGATCAAACCCAAAGACTTTGCATACCAAGCCTGCATCTTTCTTATGTGTTTGTTTGTATCTGATTAAAATAGTTACGCATAGAAACCTTGCACATTTTCAAATGCTTAGTTTTATATTCTATTTGTTACACAACTAAATGCAGAGGCCAGGGTTGCACTATTAAAAGTCAAAGCTTGCTATGGATAGTGCAATGGATAGTGTTAGTCCCAATCAGGGCTAATGAATGAATGACTTGAGCAAGAAGCTATCGTTTAGCTGCCTAGAACACAATCATTGCTGTGTAATCTTCGTACATCCTTTGTTTCTACGATCTTGTTGGTGGCAGCACTTTCAGCTTAATGCTAACATTAGCATTCTAAAAAGTTGACAGTGACTTTGTAATATTTAGAAGTTCAAATGTTCACTTCCTAATTTTACAGTGCTATTTGACTTAATTCAAGTTCAACGGACCATATTTGGTCATACACCAAAGCACTGAACTGATGTTGATGGTTCTATGGGAAAACAAATGAGAAATCAACAGTGATCCTCTGTGGACCTTTAATATCAGTAAAGTAGTTCATATAAATCCATCTAACAAAATCTTTACCAACAAACCCTAAGACATAACCATACAAATCTAGGAGCCACAATCTGAGCCTCTGCAATCCTCCGGAAAATATGCTCGAAAATAATAGATAGACAACATTACAACCCACATTCAATACATTATTATACTGCATTGTTTATTTATCTATTTCAATGCAAATGTAAATTGAAATGTAAATGTAATTGAATATAGGTTAAAAAGAATCAACCAACAATTTCCCTTTTTTTGTTAACTCTACTAGCCATCATGTTAATTACAAGTTGTAAATAACAGATACTGATCGCTTAAACTTAAGAACTTATCTATGCGGTTGGTTGCTGTTACACGGCAAGATGAAATGATAGATATGTGGCTTTATCAAATACAAGTACGGGCACGAGCAAAAAATAGGACTCAAGAGCACAACCAGGCAAAAAAGATTTTAGTCAAGCGTTTAATCCAAAAGGCAAAATAATACAGGCAAAGATAAAAAAAAAAATGATCCCCCCCACTCCAAATCAAAAAGGTTGCTGACCCCTGCAATAGGGTCTTCGCCGACCTCTGATCTCAGACCCTAATGAGGTTATTTAAGACAGCCATGTTGTTGCATCACCCAAAGATTTTCTTTTTACTTACAGTAAAAGGCTGAACTGTGTGTTGAAACTTCAGATCTTATGTTCCCATTAGGTATGCTGGTTTAAAGTCCAGACTCCAGAATCACACTGTTTGATAGCCTTATTAAGCCAATCATTTCCAAAGACGAGTTTAGATAATGGGGTTGAATGTTCTAAAAGAATCCTCAAAAAATTGCTACATGCCACAAATCTTCCTTTATTACCAATACAGGCAGTGTTTAGCTCAGATCAAGATAAATAAATGATGATACACCATCAGGAGCTGTTCTAATATATTGAAAGAAGTATTCATCTGTTGAAACTTCACTTGAGCCCTGAAGGAACCATGAACAGTGAGACATTACAGCTGCACTGGCTGGCCCTGCGTAGGGCAGTGGAGTGTGTGTGACGTCCTTGACCCAGCTGGACATTTGCGGCAAGTGACGTGAATATAAAATAGAATAGAAAGCCTTTATTGTCATTGTACAAAAACATACAACAAGATTTGGAGTACAACCCTGTCACATTGCGCAGAAAACGAAAACAGACAACATAAAAACACGTCGGTAGGACAGACAAACTTAAACACGTTTACAGGGGGGAATAAATGTTTTAGAACAATGGCGAAAAAATCTATAAAGTGCATCAAAGAATAAAAAGTGCATATGAGTTAAGTAATTGAAAGAGTATTGCACTTAAGACTGTAGGTTTAACAGCCTGGTGGTCCAGGGGTAATAATATTCTAATAACCCCAGTCTGCTCCACTCTGCGATTATATTCACTGCAGGATTTACCACATAACCATATCAAGAGCACAGCCTGATTAAACAGAAATAACATCATTTATACATTGTACTTTGGGCAGACTGTCAAACTTCACTACACAGCAGCCAGCAGACTGAAACCAGTGCAGATATGGACTGCAACCTTTTACAGTACATGTCATGCTGAAGTGCATCTGGTTGTGTAGGGTCCAGCAGCTGCCTGCAGCTCGGGAATAAAGGGATGAGTACAAAAAAGCTTTCATTGATTGCCAGTCCTCCCTGCAGCCTGGCAGACAGATCATATGAGTGCCTGGAAACTGACAGCATAATATGCCGGGTAATGATCTGCTGTCTAGTTCACCTCTGAGTAAGAAACGTATCAGAACAGACTGACCAATAATAACTGCATCAATCCGAGCAGTGACATCAGGCCACAAAGGTACAATACAAATATATATCACATGTATTACCACCACAACCTGATGCAGCTTCCATAGAACCAAGACAGGCTGATCTATGTGGTTTAAACCCAGTGCTGGCCCCACCTGCTGGGGATGGAAAGGTAAAAGCTGCTGTCCCGCTCGGACAGAAAGAGGCAACAACCTCCCCTCACTCAACAGCATCCTCTATTAGAATTCTCTATGATAGGAAATCATTTGTAATGCTTCTTCTCCTATTTCCTTAAGAGTAGGATAAACTGGACCATCCTTTATGAAAGAAAAGGACATAATGCTGTCCCATACTGTGACTCCGTTCAGCTGCACATCAGAAACATCTGTCTCCCAGTGTAAGTGCAGTCAGATTCTCGTAGCACCGCAGTTGTCTCTTCCTAAACCCTGAGGAATTCTCTTTCATCTCTCCTAACCCAATGAAGTTTTCCACTAATGTAAAAGATAGAAGACCAGTTCTTTGACTATTTGACCGCAGCCAAGGCAATTTCAAGAGGGTCAAAAGAGGCTAGCCTAGAGAGTTCTAGGACAATACCTCAGCCAAGGGTCCAG